GTAAAAAGACAGTATAAGTCATTATAATCAGTAATTATGTCCCCACTGGATGCAACAAATGCCTCGTTTGTAATGGGTTTTCATGTTTTTTGTTTCGTCGCTCCGGCCGGGACACGGCATCAACAGTATGGTAAGGGACGTAACATTTCCGTCACATGCTTGAGGTATTTGGCCAATCATAACGCACTGGATAGCTGGCCAATCAGAGCACACCTCGCTTTTCAGACCGATGAGCTGTGAAAAAATCGAGGCGTTTCAAAAAGGCGGGCATAGAGGTGAAACAATAATGTACAGTATGTGGAAAATAATGTTTTTTGAACTTTAATCCGCATAAACACATTTCATTACACCAAAAACACAAAATAATGTTCTTTTTAGCAACATCATATGACCCCTTTTATCTTGTTTTTGTTTTAAACTTACATAATTTTGATCAGTTTCCCATAAAAATTTCTTCTCGTGTCATTGTGCTTCTCAAGTTAATGTATTTTCAAGAATCTTTGGACATTTGCACTGGAAAACACGACAAAGATACTGATAAAGTATATCCCTTTTTGCGGGGTGATCAGACGTTTTAAAGTTCAAGTAATGGGGATCTATTTAATTAAACTTTGAATTGTTGATAATACAAGACATTTACAATTAGAGACCATACTGATGTACTGTTCCATTCAGTTTAATTTTACCTTCATGAAACCTGCAGAAATCCTGTCAGATGTTGTCCCTGGGCAAAATGACTAAGTGCTGCTTTAAGAGTCTGTGGGAGTTTTTCCATGTTCAACATAGTTTCCATGTTGGAAGAATCAGCTCAAAGCTGTTGAAGGTTTGGATGTTTTGGTGTGTCAGATGTGGGCGGGCTGAGAGTGCAAATGTCTCGCCCAGTGGGAGGATCAGCTCCGTGATGTGTTTCATGGGAAAAACTGCTGCAACACCACTGTGTGTCTCACAGACAGACTTTACACACTGTGCACAGGGCAAGATCAGCTGGATGCTTCAACACCACGGTAAGATCTCAACTACTTACTGTAGAACAGAAAAAGAGCAGAATTATTCAGTTTTACAAGCTGAATAATAATATTATGATAATATTACCATGTTTATAGGGAACTCTTGCTATTGTTTCCTGATCTATTATTTTCAGTGGAGACTCTGAGATGTGTTTGGTGTATTTGATGTATTTACAGATGAACAAGTTCAGTGTATTTATATATAAATTATTAATAATATGTATTCATATTTATTAGTTAATACTAATGATTATTTTAATTTTTGTTATATTTTGTTATTGTAGATTTAATTTTTTTTATTTTAATTTTTTTATACATATTTAAACTTACAGTAAAACTTACATATTCACTAGTACTTAATTTTTTCACAAGTAGTTAATTAATTTAAATAGTATATATGTGTAATGGACTATATACAATCTCTGGACTCCTGGTTTGAAAAGCTTGTGTTGAAGCAGATTTCGTACTGTTCAGTTCCACTACTTTTGAAATAGGCGCAAAGTTGTACAGTTTACATTTTCTATCAAACAAAGACAGTTTCAGTGGACTGTGTGTGTGTGTGTGTCTGTCTGTTTCTGTGTGTGTGTGTGTGTGTCTGTCTGTTTCTGTGTGTGTGTGTGTGTGTGTGTGCACTGTAAAAAAAAACAAAAGTTGAGAAAACTTAAAAATTAAGGCAACCAGCTTCAGCATATTTTTGAGTTTTCTCAAATTGTTTTCAGTTTATACAACAAAAAAATCTCCTACAAAAACATTTATTAAAAAAAATATTTTTTACTCTGTGTGTGTGTGTGTGTGTGTGTGTGTGTGTGACCCCAGGGGCTCAGCAACAAAGGCAGCATGAAAAGTGAGTTATTTTTGTTCAGAATACAGGCAGTTCTCACACACACACACCATATCTCTCTCTGTTTCTCACCAATATTAAGATGGAATTTGCCCACACTTTTCTGTCCCAAGTGTCTTTTCTCCTTCCCAGATTCCCTCTCCAGTACTTACAAAAAGCACTGCGGTGATACCAATCATGGTATATTTATACACCATGAAACAAAATGACTGCCAAATTATTGTACCATACTTTGATGTAAAACTATCCTATACCCAGCTCTAAACTGCTTATTGTGGACAATTAGAAATTATAAAGCTGCTTTA